ATACAGGGACATCTGAGTGGCTCAGTAGGTTAGGCAACCGACTCTTGATTTCAGCTCAGGTCATCTCTGGGATCAAGCCCCACATGCGGCTCTGCACTCAGCAGAAAGTCTGCTTGAGATTCTTTTTCTTCCTCTCTGCCCCTCCCCTTTCTCACATGTGCTCTCTCTGAAATAAATTAATTTTAAATAAAATATTTTTTATTATTTATTTTTATTATTTTATTATTAAATAAATTAAAATACTTTTAAATAAAATAGAATAATTAATTTTAAATAAAATACAAAATGAATATAAGCAACAAAGTTTATGTAAAAGGAAAGTTGAATGTTCTAAAGGAACTCTCAAAGACAAATAGCTAAAATAAACTGCACCTGAATTAGAGGCAAAAAAAAAAAAAAAACCATGTAAATAAGGAGGAAACCATGAAACTGGATTCTGAATTTAGATTCCTTTGCAAATGCTTTAAGTTCACACTCCACTTTAAAGAAACTAGGATTTGAGATCTTAGACCAGTGGTTCTTCATAGGGCATTACTGACCCCTAGGGGTAGTTTTAGAAACTCTTGGGGGCATTTTTGGCTGGGCTTCACAACTGGTCCTTAGTGGACCAGGGACAGGGTTTTAAGACATCCTGTCAGGGTCTGCACAACTTTGGAAAGTCTGAGTATTCATATAGGTAAAAGCTTGCTTTTCCCCTCAAGAAGGTGAGCTTCACATAACTGATTTCCTCTCAGAGCACAGTATGGAAAGGGGGTAGGTGGAGATTAACCTCATAATAGGTGGGACCATATATAAACCTCAGGGCTTAGTTTCCCATGGTCTCATGTGATGTAAGAGCTGCAGAATGATCAGTGTTCATTAGTGGAGAAAAAACAAAAGTCACCTCAGCCAAGTAATCAAGATTTCCATCATCAGTGATACATCGTGTTGGTAATGTGCACTTTGATCAGATGTGATGAGAAGGTCACTTTACCTCTATAGACTTTCTCCTAAAAAACCATAATCCCAGTTTCATCATGATAAAAAAAATTCATATTAATAAAATCCCAACTGAGAAACACTGACTAGTCAGCACTCCTCAAAACAACCAAAGAACAAGGAAAACAAGGAAGTCTACAAAAGATCACATTCTACAGGAGTCTAAGAACTGACAACTAAATAGAATGTGGTATCCTGGATGGGATCCTGCAACAGAAAAGGAAAGTAGCTTAAAACTAAGAAAATTTGAATAAAGTGCAGACTTTGATTAATAATAATGCATCAATGTAGTTTCATTAGTGGTAACAAATACAGCATACTAATGTAAGATTTTAAAAATAAAGGAAACTGGGTCTGAGCTATATGGAAACTTAGCATCATTTCTATAAACCTAAAACTATTTGAAAATTTTTAAAAATGTAAACTACAATTTTCAACTAGTAGGTAAGTTCTGGATATCTAATGCACAGGATAGTGATCACAGGCAACAATATTGTATTATAAACTTCAGAGTCACTAAGAGACTAGATCTTAATTGTTCCCACAAAAAAATTTTTTTTAGGATTATTAGAGCGAGAGAGAGAGAAGGTGTACACATGCAAGTCGGGGAGGGTGGAGGGAGAGGAAGATCATCTCAAGTAGACTCCCTGCTGAACATAGAGCCAGACATGGGGCTAGATCTCACCCTAAGCTCACAACCCAAGCTGAAACCAAGTCAAACGCTTAGCCAACTGAGCCACCCAGGTACCCCAAAAGAAAGGGTATTTATGAGACATGATAGAGGTGTTAGCTAACTCTAGTAATCATATTTCAATATATAGATGTATCAAATGTACACATTAAACTTATACAATGTCAATATTACTTCAATAAAATTATTATAAAGCCACCTTTTTATTATCTGAGCCTAGAACACCTATTTTGTTACTTATATAATTTTAATATTCACTACGGACAAACTGTCCTGCTAGAGAAGGAATACTGTTCTTTTCTTCAAAATGTCAGCAAGAATTTGATCGCCATTTTGGAAAAGGACATTTTCAACAGTAAATGCTATTCATGTGTTTTGAGTGGCCAGTAAAACATACCTGTTACCAGTACGCACTATATGTAACCTTATAGCTCTTCAGGAAACATGAATTCAGTCTTTAAAATATCCGGCGGCATTAACAGTACTTGACTGAGCAGTTTTACTTCTGTATTTAAGAGCAAGCATCTACTTCATTGTTTTCTAGTGTAGTAGTATCTGGGCATTTATATATTGAAATGCATGTTTTATTACAAATTGATTTCATCTCTACTCTACATTACAGTAAAGGCACTGGACTGACCCTTTCTGAAATTGTGTATATGGGTGAGTTATGTATGAATTTCATTTTAGGATAGTGGGTATGATCGAGGTTACGAATATTCCCATCTTGTAGTAAAAAGGGTCTGCTAAGCCTGATAGGTTGAGAACCCCAATATTTGACCAAGCTCTTCAAGGGCAGAAAATGTCTGGTTTCTTACAGGTTCTCAACATTTCATTTCACCTTGTTGCAGTCTGTTTATGCCTGCTCAGAAGCCCTTGTTTGCTCCTCCATTTTGGCAGTCTCAGTTCTGATCCAGTGGCCACCCTCAGGCAGGCAACTAGAGTAAATATGACCTCTTCAAGCCAGAGTGGTCTCATTCCCTGTGCCAGTGATTAGACATGGGCAAGTGAACCAATGTTGTCAAGACACAAGGGGAATTCCGCTGAGGAGCTTTGGGAAGGCTTTTATAGTCCCTAAAAGCACAGGAGGAACAAATGTTCTTTTCTTTCACTGGACATTGTTGGATTATTCATGACACCTGGAAATCATGGTAGGCATCTCTGATCATGAGCACTATTAGCCCAGAAAGAAAATGCTGAGAATGACAGGGTGGGAAGGAAGGAAACCAAGGTTCTTGAGATCTCTGAACCCGCTATGAACCCGTAGAATTGGGTCTTTTCTCATGACCAGCAGCAAGCGTCCTAATATAACCCTTTTCACAAGCAGTTGTGTTGCTAAGTATGTGTACACACTGTATGCAGTCCTGCTCAGACTGCGACGTAAGGAAGCCACAGTAATTCTCTCAGCCATCAGCGCCTCATTCAAATCACCGTATTATAACTGAGTACCAGGCTTAGCTGTGAAGGGCTCACGGGAGACTGATTTTACATTGACAGTAAGCTCCCGTCTTGTGGTCCAGTCGTGGAAAACGAGAAAACCTTGTGCTCTCCTGCACTCTTTCATATCACTACTTCTGAGTAAGTTAATTGGGAAATAAGTCATTTGTCCCAGTCCCGCACCTGGTGATAGAATATACATCCTTTCAATGCACACAGAGATGAATTTAAGGAATAAGCAAGGCCTGTCTTTTGACACATTTTTACTTAGCAAGTAGAGAAAGCTTTTTTCCCACAGAAATAAGGTTTAAAAGATTTATGAATCTAATCACCTTCCCATTTGATAATTCCAGTACCTAGCATTTGAAACTGGTCTTCACTGGTTCCCACAACTCACCTTTTGATATTTGGACTTTCTTCTTTGTACCTTTTCTACCATATTCCTTTACCCTTATTTACTCTTCCCACCTTTTCCACACTTACTTATCCATAGAAACTATCTGCTTTGCAGGACAGACAGAATTACAGTTTTCCAGCTCAGATGAACCTGCAAGCCCTTTCAAATCATTGCAGGCTTTTTTTCTTTTTCTTTCTCAAGATTTATGTATGAGATAGAGAGAGAAAGAGGGGGGGGCCATATGAAAGTAGGGGGAGGGGCAGAGGGAAAGAATCTTCAAGCAGACGCCCCACTGTGTGTGAAGGTCACTTGGGGCTCAATCCCAGGGCCCATGAGCTCAGGACCTGAGCTGAAACCCAGAGTCGGATGCCCAACCAACTAAGCCACCCAGGTGCCCCACTGCCGGCCTTTTTAAAAAGAATTTGCTGGTCAGTTCACAAATTAAACACAGTCTTATTTGAAATTTTATTTTCTTTCAGTCTGTAAGTACTGCTCTTTGTTTGAATTGCTCACATAATCCATTCCACCCAAAAAGGAAATGTCAAGTGCTTCTAGCAGTGGAAACAGCAGTCAGCACAGCCTATCCAAAGGTCTTCCGCTAGAGTCTATAGAAAATCTAAATGTTAGGTAAACCACCAACCAGATGTTTTTGTTTCTCTGGGCCATGAGATTGTCAAAATCGGTTTGATTTTTTAAAACCCATCAAATGTCAATCATGGCAAGGAAGACCACTGAGCTGATTCCTGATAACTAAGTAATGTTTTTGCTGAACATCATTTATCCTAAATGATTACTGACATCAGAAAGACCTTGGGGTAGGGGCTCTTTGAGTAATGAAGTAACACAGGCATGGCTTGCCCAGGGATAAGCAGGTGTCCCCAGAACCGCCGTGTACTACAGACTTCCTCCGCCGCTCCTTCCCTCATCCTGGTGCTCGGGCCCTAATGCTGAGAGGACAACATTCAAACTCACTGATGGTTTTCACAGCAGAGGTGAGTGGAGGAGGTCTTGTGAGGTACTAATTTTTGAAGTACAATCTTAATACTAAAAATGAGAATCAGGTCTCAAGTACTTGAGCCCATTTATAATACTGCCTTAATTCATTAAAGTTATTTTCCATGTCTAGCCTGCCTTCTTTCTCACAGGATAGAAGATAGCTGGGAGGATTAAATGAGATACAGTGACAGCCTAGCCCAGTCTCTGCACACCAGTAAATATTCTTCCCATCTACCGCCCCATCCCCAAATAAAGAGGTTAGTCCTTGAGCTTAGAAAGTACTTTGTAAGTAAGAAGAAATTAGCTTTTCTATCAACATCCTTGTCAGTCTGATTCTGACTTGCTCCCAAGACTGCCTTCTCTTTTGTGAAATAAACACTTTATACTATTTGAAGTATACATGAAGTTTCATTTTTGTTCAGTGTTCTTTACTTTTCATTGTGAAAAGGTATTTCTGAGGAACTGAAACCCCAGAAGGTAAACACAACAAAAACTTGTTAATTTTTTTTTTTTTTTGGAGAATGATGATTCAAAGGCAGACTTGTTCAGAAATCATATATAGGAGAAAGAAGGCAAATGCAGCCTCTGAAGGGAACTGTTCTAATTATTACATAAAAAAGTAAAGTTATTTAATTACATTCAAGGACATAAGACAAAGCACTACTTTAAAACCACAATGACTGAATTATTAGGTGAAAAACATAGGCTGAAATAGAAAAGGGGAATGGACTTCAGAATAATCTGAATTGGGACAATGATTCTTCAGTCCTAGATGTTTCTGTTGTCTATCTTGAATTACACCATTTCCTTTTTTACCTCCCACAAGGTCTTCACTGAAATCACAAAGCAGTATTCTCACAGAACTAAATAATAGTTGTCATTTTGTTAGGATTCAAAATTTCAATCCAGTAGCCATCGGGATCTTGAATAAATGCCAGGCCTTTCATTTTACCTGTAAGATGAAATGAATTTAATTATAAAAGAGACTTTTTAAAAATTTAAAATTAAGAACATTTTTTATTAATCCAAATTTTAATTTGCATTTTAAAAACTACATTATTTTGCTTATAGTTTTAATTTTAGAAAATTCTATTGTCAGCGTTGCCCAAATGCATGCATTTCAGAATGACTAACATAGTTACCTTCTACACACAGCTGGGAACCAACTCTCCTGAAATAAAGTCTGTAACTGGCTGCAGTTTTAGGCACCAGATTTTTTTTTTTTTTTTAAGATTTTATTTATTTATTTGACAGAGAGAGATCACAAGTAGATGGAGAGGCAGGCAGAGAGAGAGGGAGGAAGCAGGCTCCCTGCTGAGCAGAGAGCCCGATGTGGGACTCGATCCCAGGACCCTGAGATCATGACCTGAGCCGAAGGCAGCGGCTTAACCCACTGAGCCACCCAGGCGCCCTAGGCACCAGATTTTTACTTCACCTTCATGATACAGTTCATGCTACCCGTTGAGTAATCACAGAGATTGTCTTATTTTATTAAGATTTTATTTATTATTTGAGGGGCACCTGGGTGGCTCAGTTGGTTAAGAAACTGCCTTTGACTCAGGTCATGATCCCAGGGTGCTGGGATCAAGCCTTGTGTCAGGCTCCTTACTCAGCAGGAAGCCTGCTTCTGCCTCTCCCTCTGCCTGCTACTCCACCTGCTTGTGTTCTCTCTCTATCAAATACGTAAATAAAATAAAAGATTTTATTTATTATTTGAGAGACAGAGTGCGTAAGCAGGGGAGGGGCAGTGGGAGAGGGAGATCTTAAGCAGACTCCATGCTGAGCACAGAGCCGAATGTGGGGCTCAATCCCAGGACTCTGAGATCATGACCTAAGCCCAAACCAAGAGTCAGAAGCTTAACTGAATGAGCCACCCAGGCACCCCAAGATTGTTCAACTTTAAAGAGGAAAAGAAAACAGGTGTTTGAGCAGGTAGTATGGCATACCCACACAGCCGAAAGACCCAGAGGCTTGGGTCCTAATGACTTCTTTAAACACTATTCTAGGTCACTCAAGCTCTGTCAGTCTTTCTCCTAGGAATTCATAACTGGGATTGAGAGGCTAGTTGGCCTAATAGTAGAGTTGTTTGCTTAAATGGAAAAATGTGACCTCAGCAACTATTTTGGGACCAAGATGCTAAATTAGTCTGACTCCTATCTCTCTCTGGCTCTTTTTCCCAAGATCAACCCCAGAGGAACATATATGGAAAATGGGAGGAAAAAAAAGTGAGAACTAGGGTGGTGACTGGGGAGAGGAAGAAGTGGGTTGGGGTAACTGTTTTAACCTGGTCCATGTGGAAATGGATCGTATTGGCCTGGACCAGAAGGCAGTCTATCATGGCTGTGGGAAAATAAACAGAAGGGGTTTTGTTAGTTTGGCTCTTGCTCCTCCCAGTGTCTTGGGCATCAGCTCCTGCCCCCACATTAGGGGAGGTTCAAACGACAGGTTCAGATGCCCTCAGGAGTAAATAAGGGTAGTACAGAAGACTTATGCCCTTGAGAAACTGACAGAAACAGGTGAAAACCAACTGATCTCCCCAGCCTTCACTTTCCACACAATCACAGTTAGGGAATGACCACCTCAGAAGAAGGGTCTCCTGCTTCCTCTCTGAGGGACAGAGGGGAAGAAGATGTGACTGAAGAGCTGTTGTGCAGAATGCAAGGATTTAACTCTTGTCAGGTGCCTAGGGATCTCTGCGGGGCCCATCTTCCTGAGAGCATGGGGGCTCTTAAAGACTGGGGTCTAGCCTCCCCCCATTCACACTGCCTGATGCACCGGAATAGTAATAGTTGCAATGACAACAACTCCTCAGGTATCAAAGTGACAAGAATTTGAGGAACATAACCATAAAACAAACAATGGATGACAGATTCAAATAGAAGAACAAATATTAAACCAATGGCCCAAGAGCTATTAAAACATGTAAAAGTGATGAATGGTATGAACTATTACCAATATGAAACAAGAACAAGAAAATGTTTAAGGAACTGAGCAAAAACTAGGGATCAAAATCATTATAGCTGAAATTCAGAATACAATAGATGAGAACACAAAAGATGACTATCAGAACGGATAGGAAAAAGAGGAAAGATTAGCTAACTGGTATGCTAGTGTGAGGAAATCTCCTAGAATAAGAAAAAAGAAATAATAAATATAACAAAAGCATCCAGAGCGAAACAGAAGATAACCCGAATCAGCTGATTTTTCAATAGCAACACTGGATAGAAAAATAAGACCATGGAGTTGTATTTTCAAGATCAAAAGAAAATAAATCTAAGATTTTATATTCAATAAAACTGTCATTCAGATACAAAGACATGGGTCTGAGGCTTACAAAGCTTCAAAAGTTTTGCCTCACAAAAAACCCTCTGAAAAAGTTTTGGTTGAGATACTTAATAGAGGGACAGAAAAACCCAAAAGATGCTGTAAGAGCTACACAGAGAAAAGGACTTTGATATATATATTAAAGAAAAAAAAAAAAAAAAGCCAAGGCCAGGGGTACCTGGCTGGCTCAGTTGGTAGAGCATGCAACTCTTGATCTCAGGATTTTAAGACAGCCCCAGGCTGGGTGCAAAGATAACTTAAAAATACGAAATAAATAAATAAAAGCCAAGGCCAAATAAAAAGGAAAAATAAATCAGTAATATCCTGGTCTGGGAGGGTATCTGGATATCAAATCTCTCTCTTTTTTTTTTTTTTTAAGATTTTATCTATTTATTTGACAGAGAGAGACACAGAAAGAGAGGAAACACAAGCAGGGGAAGTGGGAGAGGAAGAAGCAGGCTTCCCGCTGAGCAGGGAGCCTGATGCGGGGCTCGATCCCAGCACCCTGGGATCACGTCCCGAGCCGGAGGCAGACGCTGAACGACTGAGCAACCCAGGCGCCCCTGGATACCAAATCTCTTAATTGAAAAAAAAAGGATTAAAATGAAATGTGAAATGTTTCAAATAAAAATTGAATTAATATGCTGGCAGAAACAGATCTAAGTAGAATAGTTACAATACATATAAATCCAACAAAATCTAGATATGTACATTACTATTTCTAGACAGATACCTAAAACATAAGGACATGCAATGGTTATAGAAGAATAAAAATGAAAGACCAGCCATTTACTAAGGAGATGTGGTGTATTTATATTAAAATCAGATTAACATGGGCCTTAAGGAATTTATTTTGGGGTAGCTAGGTACACCCTGAAATAGTGAGAATCAGTGGCCAGTGAGAGAATATGGTAAGGTCAAAGGGTGGGGAGAGAGCCCAGGTTTCTGACGGCTCTCCAGACTGTGTCTAGTCCCCTGTGAAGCCACCTTACTTGCTGTTTTAGTTCCCTAAGATACCCAGGTATTTTTCCAAGAATTCTTTTGTTTTCCTTAAGCTGGCTGAAGCAGACTTCCTCAAAGTTACTTGCAAGCAGAGGGATCTACTACAACAGTACTCTCTGTGGTTGCTTCATGTACATTAGTTAACTGAGGAGAGGCCGGGAGAAAGCAAGCAGCAGACTTACCATCGTCAGGTCTCTTCACAAATTTGACTCCCAGTTCTTCAAATCTTTTACAAGCACCATGTACATCAGGAACAGCAATTCCAATGTGACCTTCGGTGGCCACCCCCAAACAAGGTGGGCAGAAGGAAGAAATAATTACTGCAGGGTATCCAAGGGCCACAACTAGCTTCCAAAACGAGTTTGTTTCAAAACATAAGGCACCTGAAAACTGACTGAATCAAATAGAGTTCAAAACTTGTATTAAAAAACAAGACTCTAAGTCTAACTGGCTGCGTATAATAAGCTAATTAGTAGCTCGGACTTATACATTATCTCAAATAAGCCCAATATTGGGTTCACGTATAGTTCAATCTGTTAAGAATAACTATGGAGAAAGAGTAGTCATTTACTCATATTTAATAGATTTGCTGGGGCCACTGACTATATAGCAGCCAATTTAAGTCTGCAATCCTGTTATCTTGACTGAGAGATTCTAGATCAGGGCAGAAGTGTATGCTAAGAGAAAGGGGGATTATTAGCAACCTTGGTTTTAGTTTTTTAAATTAAAAAGTCTACTGGAAATATACTCCTGAGACTGAGAAGTGAAATCATTGTGAGAGTAAATGTAGGGTTTAGATGGAGACTATGAAATTAACTCCTAAATAAAATTTTTATGGAAAAATAAAACAGCCATACTCCTAAGAGGTTGATTATTCTTTTTTCCAAAAACACATATGTACCTTTATGTTTATTGCAAAATTACTTACAACAGCCAGATTTTGGAAATAACCCAATTGTCCATCAATATTGATACATATACATACAATGGAAAAGTGAAATTCTGCCATTTGCAACAACATGGACAAAGATCTACAAGCACAATGCCATGCGAAACAAGTCAGTCACAGAAAGACAATACCACACGAAGAAGCTGATTATTCTTAATAAGTGCCCAACGCACAAATCACACAAATCCATGTATACAACACGGGAACAGGCCAACATACCGAATCCTCGAGGGTCTGAGTTGCCACTGTGGTAACTCTGGGTCTCATCATCTTCTGTGCCCCAATTGCTACAAAAGGAGGGAAAACAGAATTACAAGTGACCTGTAGAACAGATATTCTGCTGCAATAATCTCTTTGAAATCTTGGCATGTATGTATGCAACTTCATATGCTTGGTTTCTTCTTTGCTACTGTAAATATTTAGGTTTCAACTACAGAAAAGGCAAATGGGAAAATGTGATTTTAATTAGACTAAGGAGACAATAAAACCAGGCATCTGGATAACAATAACGATAACAGTAGCAACTGTCATTTATTATACTTTATAGAGGCTATTTATTTATTTGATTTCATCTATTTGATCAAATAGATCTATTGAATCTATTTGATCTATTTATTTATTTGATCTCATTAAAATATCTTCCAAACAGCTCCATGGGCTAAGAGTTGAGTCTCCATTTCATGAATGAGACTGCCACCAAAGGAGGAGACAACGTGTTCAGGGTCACAGAGCTGTCTCATCAGAGCCAACACTCATGTCTAGGTCTGTCTGATTCCAGAGCTGTTTTGAATCAGGGACACACTAAGTCAAAAATCCTGAAATAAATGCTCTTTTGTTAGTTGTTCCAAAGGACACAGAAACAACATGAAGAATAAAACAGCATTCCTAAAATGCCGGAATTACGAAGACCTTAAAGACTCAAGCTGCTACAAATGCAAAGTGATTAGGCAGACCTGGTTTGAATTAAGCTTGTAAGTAAGGAAAAAAGGTTTATAAAAATGCAGACTATACAGAAAGATAAAAACTGATACTCACTGTGTCAGTTCAAGTGTAGCTTTCCTGGAGAATACCCATGCTATTTTTTCATCTTTATCTTTTGGGATGTCATTCTTTTCCTCATAAGCCAAGAAATAGAGTGAGAATTTCATAGTGGGAAAATCTAATTTTTGGAGTAGCCTGAAATTAAACAACAAGCCAAAATCAATTAACAACAGGAAAGGCTGACTCATATTAAAATCAACATGACAATATTCAAGTTTTACTAAGAATAATATGAACCCATTTAATAGGAATAGCAGTGGGAAATCAATGAAAATATCTCATTAAAAAAATTCATCTGTAAATATCAGTGAAATAAAAAAGTTTTCACAAAACAAACTTTTATAATTCTTCAAACATAATGAAATTTAGCTGGAATTATGCTACTTGTTTAAGTGGCAAAGGTATCTTCAAAGAAAATTTTGTCCATTTTTGGTAAAAAATATGATGCATTTCCTTACTGTTCTTTCAGATATATGACATTCAGTTAAGTCAAATATCTTATTATGCCAAAACTCCTAGGAAAAGGAAGTGAGGATAGGTGGTAAGAGAGAAGGAAGGACAGATGAATGTCACAAAAGATGTGAATGTCAACGATACAGTGGTTAACCATATGAAATACTACAGAAAGGTCATACAATATTGAGACTGTAAACAGGTGACTAGACATGGAGAGGTCCCGAGGGCAGTTTCAGCAGCATGGGGCAGCAGATGCCATATGGCCCTCATGGAGATGAGGGAAGGTGAGCAAGGATGGTTGACCTACATAGATGATGGGTGATGATGGGAAAGAGAGCAGAGGGAAAGAATTATGCTAGAATAAAGATTTCAGCTTGTTTGTAGGTTGAGGGAAAAGAGCCAGTGGAAAGGAAGAGACTGAGAAGAGACGAAGAGTGAATGAACTACCATCCTAAAGTTTTCAAAAAGATGGTTGAAGGGTGCCTGAGTGGCTCAGTGGGTTAAGCCTCTGCCTTCGGCTCACGTCATGATCTCCTGGTCCTGGGGTCGAGTCCTGCATTGGGCTCTCTGCTCGGCAGGGAGCCTGCTTCCTCCTCTCTCTCTCTGCCTGCCTCTCTGCCTACTTGTGATCTCTGTCATATAAATAAATAAATTCTTTAAAAAAAAAAAAAAGATGGTTGAAGAGGTGCCTGGATAGCTCAGTCAGTTAAGCGTCTGACTCTTGATTTCAGCTCAGGTCATGATCTCACGATCAGAAGATGGAACCCTGCACTGGGCTCCACACTGGGCATGGAGCCTGCTTAAGACTGTCCCTCTCTCTTCCTCACCCTCAGCCCCTCCCACGGCCAAAAAGATAGTTCAAGTCATGGCCTATAAATAAATTTAAAAAGTATACCATTATTCTGCAAGGAGTAGGGTAGAATGAGGATGGACACAATACAATTTCATTTAGGTTATTGAGGACTAAATGCTCAAAGATAACCTTATTTTTAATCAATAAGAGAGAATGGTTGAAGCCTATCTAGCAAATGGAAGGTTTCTAAGCTCTTTTAATTATCACTGCTATGTAATACACCTTGGCCCACTGAGACCCAGCACTGACTTCCCACAAGTAAGATTTACTCAAACATGTTTATAATAAGGTCATGAAAACTATCTCTGCACCTACCAAAGCAGACTGCACAAGCCTTGCACACCAATCAGGTGGGAACTAGAGCAAATGAACCTGTTGTAACCCGCTTTTCTCAGCGAGCATATCTTTCAGTATAATGTCAAGTTGTACCCCGTTTGGGGGCTCTTGAAAAACAAGGTCAACACTAGAGTCAATCAGATCTGTATTTGAATTCCCCCTCTACCACGTGCCCATTGTGGCATTTGGGGACAGGAACTTAATGTCTTTAAACTCTGGCTTCTTCCTTCATCTGTAAAATGGAGAATATAAACAGTTTTGTGAGCTACTGTGGAGACTGAATGAAAAACATGTAAAGTGTCTGGCAAATACTGAGTATTCAATGTATTTGTTTTACTCTTTTACGTATGCTGTAAACATTTGCTAAACTACTTTTTCTGGAAAGAACTATAACAAACTGCTAACAGCAGTTATCATTGAGGACAAGGACTGGGAAAGGGAGGCGAATGCTTTTATTTTATATTTTTTTGAACCGGTCAGATTTTCTAAACAAACATATACTGTATTACTTGAATTTTTCTCTCAGTGTCAGTGGAGGCTATCCAGGCAGTCAATTCAAAATCATTTTATTCTTTAAGTATCTATATTGTCAGAAACAAAGAAAAACCCCTCATGTTATTCAGGGAAACTAATCAAGAAAAATAAACAAATATGCTTTGAGGACTGCAAGATCAGTGGATACTACCTATTCAGGAAAAGAGAATACATCCCATAAAAATGAGACAGGTGGCCAATTTTAGGCAAACTCATTCATTTTCTAAGTAATGCATTTTTATAACTCTATCTTTTCCAAAGTAAATAAGAGGCTGTAACATTAAAAGGATCTGAACACATTAAGGATCGAACAACTCTCAGAGAGAAGGGAGGGAGAGAACACCCAAGTACTCGGCCAGTGAGCCCAGTCCAGACACCTGGCCAAAAGGACTTCTGTGATTTCTGAAGAAAAGCTTAATCCATTTTTTAAACAGATCCGGAGACAATTCCAGTATTTGCGAAGTTATGCATTTAAACATTACAGGCGCCAGTAAATAGTTTACTTACGTCATTCCAAGAATTCTAGTATAAAAATCCAATGACTTCTTAGGATCCTTAATTCGTAGCATGGTCTGCTGCAACAGAAAATCCTAAGGAGAAAGAGCACATATCAAACAGGTGTGATGTCTGGCACTTGTTACCAACATTAATCAAGCTTTCCACTGGAGGATACAGTCTGCCTCTGTAACACAATGTTTCAGAAGAAAGCAACTTTGTCCCCTCAGCCTTGCTTAGTCCCCACACCTACCACTTACACTGCCTACAGGTCTCTGCCCAAGGATGCTCTCTGCCCAAGGTTGCTTCTTAATCCTGTGTGGGGCAGACCCAAAGGGCCAGGGAGGTGGTTCACACCCTCCAAATAACCGACAGTGGATAAAAACCCTGGCTCCCCTGGCCCTTAGTGGGACAATTCCACAGCATGTTCCACCCAGTCATGCAGAGACGTCCCTGCAGGATGACAGCCCAGTCGCCCTCAGGGGTAATCCACTTCCACATACTCTTTATTGCATTCTCTAAGAGCCTGCCAAATAAACTACTTACAACCAAATACGTCCAGTCTGCTTTTGGACAACCCAAAATGAGAAACTGATGTTACAAATAAAGAATTTAATTACTGTAAAATGTGCTAAATGAATGCATAAAATGCCTTTCCAAAACTCATTGGTAACCAATGAGAAGTTACTCACAAGATCCTAGACTACTAAAATAACTGAAAGCTTAAAAAGTTACTGTCTCGGGACACCTGGGTGGTTCAGTTGTTAAGTGTCTGCCTTCGGTTCAGGTCATGATCTCAGAGTTCTGGGATCAAGCCCCACATCAGGCTCCCTGCTCGGCAGGAAACCTGCTTCTCCCTCTCCCACTCCCGTTTGTGTTCCTTCTCTTGTTGTCTCACTCTGTCAAAGAAATAAATAAAATCTTTAAAAAAAAAAGAAAGTTACTGTCTCTAACACCACTGTGAAACTGTCCAATTTACAAATCAGGAAACAAAAGGCTTGAGATGACCAGAAGAAGGTATTTTAATTCATGGAGTTAAGATTATTAATGGCATTAATAATACTTTGCCATCATTTGGTACAGAAACTATGAAGCATTACTATTTATAGGTATTAATATCCCCATTTTATAGATGAGAAATACACCTGAGGTGATTAAATTGTCTTCTAAGTTCAGGTCTCTTTCTACCATAGATGCCTTCCAAACTATGAGTCTGTTCACTACATTTGTGCTTCCTAACAGATTTTTTCCTGTTATACCCACAGCTTGACAAACAGGCCCGAAAATTCTGAACTCTCCCTTTGCAGAAATATAGACATCTCTCCCGTGGAACTCTCCCGTGAGTTCTCTCCCGTGGAACTCACATCATATAAACACAAATGTATTTTATTCATTCAGCATCATTAGGAAGTATTTTTCTATCTTGTTAAATTTTTTTTTGAAGATTTTATTTATTTATTTGACACAGAGAGAGATCACAAGTAGGCAGAGAGGCAGGCAGAGAGAGTGGGGGAAGCAGGCTCCCTGCTGAGCAGAGAGCCTGATGGGGGGCTCAATTCCAGGACCCTGGGACCTTGACCCAAGCCGAAGGCAGAGGCTTACCCCTCTGAGCCACCCAGGCACCCCTCTATTTTGTTAAATTTTTAAGTGACCAAAAGGTACTCTTATTTTAGGCATTAAAATTCTCATTTAAAACAAAACTAGCCTAAAAACTACTTTATCTTAATAAGTAGATCTCAATGAATATAATAATTTCATTCTTCATTCACAGCTTATAATCATATATAAGGCAGTTGGCTCAGAAATAACATGTTTCTAGAATACTTGGCTTGCTTTTCTCAGCCAGGTACTGCACTCCTGAAGGTCTTAGTTTCAGCAAGAACTAAAAAAAGGAAAAGCAGCTCCTGACATCCAGGCCACAATGAGGTCTTGGTTTTCCCCATTGAACAAAATCACAAAAGCACCTATTAAGTCATGCTGTAATTGCAGTGAAGGGAGATCAAAATGCAGCAAATACAATTTAACTTCATATTCTTGGTTAGTGCAGATTAAAACAAGGCACCGTTTGAACTTTGGTAAGTGGGATCTATACACAAGTGGTTAAAACTACCTGAAAAATATCAGTTACTATTGCATACACAAAACCTCAGCTATCTAGTTATTTGCTTTAAAAATGTGTGGAATTTCCTTATTTTCATGATTCAGGGACATTTCTATAAATATGAATTATTGTCTTACAATGTAATATAGGAGCTCCTGGTACATTTACTGCTACTTTTCCTATATTGAGATGGTCCCTGGAACTCCTGTCTTTATTTTACTCTTTTAATGAGTTTTTTGTCCCCTCACATACCATTAAGCTATTAGTTGTCAATTCTATCAGCAAAACTGTCCTTTTATGGACATAAAGCTAGTGCGCGCTTAGGCAGCACATACTAAAACTGGACATAAAGCTAATTTGCCTAAATTCTTTGATTCTACACTTCTCACTATCCGTTAGCACCCTGATCCCATCAACCCCTCCTCCCACCCAGACTTGTTGGTACTTTTCTCTCTCACCCTGTCCCCTAAAATCTATTCTTGAGGAAATTTTTAAAGTTAATCTAGTTCACTCTTCCACTCAAAAACCCTGAGAAAGCTCCCCATTTCACTCAGAGTTAAAGCCAAAGTCCCTACAAGGGCCCTCGATGGTTAGCCCTGGTTGCCTCGCTCACCCCTTCTCCTGCCCACTGTTGTCTTCAGCAGGTCACCTAGGCCTTTGCTGGAAGGTTCTTTGCCTGGAGCCACTCCTCTTCTCTGTTTTTAAAAATCTTTATTCATAAGTAGGCTCCACACCCAATGTGAGGCTTGAACTCCTGACCCTGAGATCATAAGAGTTGTAGGCTCTACCAACTGAGCCAGCCAGGTGCCCCTCCCCACAGCCACTTCTAATATTTTTAACTCTGCTCAAATGTCATCTTCCCAATGAGGCCTTCAACTGACTACTGTAACTCTCCACTTACCCCTTTTTTCCATTTTCTTTTTCCATAGTACTTGTCACCGTGCAATATGCTATTTACTACATTTATCTTTTATTGTTTTTCTTTCCCTATTAGAATATAAACTCCATAAGGACAAGAGTGTTTGTTTTGTTTACTGATTCACCTCAGAACGGAATCTGGCACAGAGTAGATTCCCAATAAATATTTGTTGAATGAGTAAATGAACTTTCACTATAATGTTTCTTTACAATCAAGCTGCATCCAACATTACCGGAAAAAAAAAATCATTACACTTAACATAGTAACTGCGTGCCAGACACTGTTCTAAGTGATTTACAGAAATCAACTCATAATCTTCACAACAACCCTATGAAATATGTATTATTACCACACCTACTCTCTCTACTGAGAGAGTAAGTGTCAGAGAAAAAGCAGTCTGGTTCCAAAGACCTTGCTTTCAACAACCTTGGTTAAACTGCCTCTAACCAAGAAATAGACAAATAAACACAGAGCATAACAGAATATCATGAATCCATTTAAAATGCTGCTCTAGGGGGAGGAGTCAAGATGGCGGACAAGTAGCAGGCTGAGACTACTTCAGGTAGCGGGAGATCAGCTAGATAGCTTATCTAAAGATTGCAAACACCTACAAATCCAACAGGAGATCGAAGAGAAAAAGAACAGCAACTCTAGAAACAGAAAATCAACCACTTTCTGAAAGGTAGGACTGGCGGAGAAGTGAATCCAAAGCGACGGGAAGATAGACCGCGGGGGGAGGGGCTGGCTCCCGGCAAACGGCAGAGCAACAGAGCACAAAATCAGGACTTTTAAAAGTCTGTTCCGCTGAGGGACATTGCTCCAGAGGCTTAACCGGGGTGAAGCCCACGCAGGGTCAGCGTGGCCTCAGGTCCCGCAGGGTCACAGAAGGCTCGGAGGTGTCTGAGTGTCGCAGAGCTTACAGGTATTAGAACGGGGAAGCCGGCTACAGAGACAGAGCCGAGGAGTGAGCTCACAGCTCGGGGTTACCTTGAATCGGTCACAGGCTCGGTCAGCTCGGAGCGCGGCCGGAGGCAGGGTGACGGGAGTAATTGGGCGCTGTTCTCTGAGGGCGCACTGAGGAGTGGGGCCCCGGGCTCTCGGTTCCTCCGGGCCGGAGACTGGGAGGCCGCCATCTTCATGCCCGTCCCCCGGAACTCTACGGAAAGCGCTCAGGGAACAAAAGCTCCCGAAAGCAAACCTGATCGGATTACTCAGCCCCGCCCCTGGTAAGGGCGGTGCAACTCCGCCTGGGGCAAAGACACTTGAGAATCACTACAACAGGCCCCTCCCCCAGAAGATCAACAAAAAACCCAGCCAGGACCAAGTTCACCTACCAAGGAGTGCAGTTTCAATACCAAGGAGAGCAGCGGAATTGAAACTGCACTCCTTGGTAGGTGAACTTGGTCCTGGCTGGGTTT